CCTCTTGATACTAAGTCGATAATATTCTGATCAGTAGGAACATACGATACATCTTTGTAAGGATCAAAATCTGTTGTAATTTCACCAACACGATAAGCAACATAAGATCGAAAGGATTTTGATTGACCTCGTAACTAACTTATTGTTGTCATACTATCAGTCCACATTTTAACGTATTCGATTTTAAGTCTTAAAGCGTTGATAACAACTAACATCAGTCGGGATAACAACAGAATAGCTTGCAGTTCTTTGCGTGGTATACTCGATTGCTTCAAAGGCGTAAGTCTAGCTTTAGCACAAACAATGTCAATGTCAACTCGGCATTTGATTCGTCTTCATTGGACCATCTCTTCCAAACTCCTATGCCCATTGCATCTTCCGAGGCATTACTAAAAGCATGAAGCGACATTTTAGGTAGTTTAGTTTTGTCCTTGAAATTTTTCAGGAATTAAACAGCGTTTGATTTCGATTGAATAAACATCTTGAAGATCTTTCTTGATCTTATTGAACATAATATATAAATCACTATCAGGGTGAATCGGATCATCCCAGTTAATGTCCTACTGCCATAATCGTTGTAAAAGTATTTTCGGTCGTACTAATATTCCTGATAACATACTATAAACGTCGTAATACGAAGCAGTCATCTTGAGAATATTACGTTTTATAGGAACAAAATCTTTAAATAAAACTTCTTTTACACTGAGAGTGTCTGTCTTTAAATTCCCTCTGGTACCAAGTACTGAGGTAACATCGTTGACGGGATAAAACTCAGTATCGTAGAGAGTTGGCTTATTTGATAACCATTTGCGAATTTTAAAATTTCCTTTTTCTAAGGTAGAAGTAAGATTAGATTTTAATCGTTGAGCTTCATCAGTTGACCTTTGCGAATCTGTGAGATCGTCGACATATAATTGATTGTTAGCGATTCGCTGAATTTCAGGATCACCAGGAGCGTTTTCTGCAGCAACATGACGTAAGGCAATAATGGCTGCAGCAGGTGACGGTTTATCTCCAAATGTAACTGTTGTTAATTCGTACACGTTGATTGGGTCTTCTGGATGCTTACGAAATAAATAACGGTGAAATCGAGCATCGTCGGGTGCCATCTTTACAGCTTGAAACATTTTACTAATGTCACTCTATGCCTGAAGAAGGATTTAATTCCGAAATCGCGATCGCACCCGAGGAGTCCCCCTATATTTTTTTTGTTATCTCGTTTTATGTAAGTTTATTTTGTTTTTTTATTTCACTTCGATTTATGAAATAAATATTTCTATATTTTTGACGTAAATTCTGACCCTATTTCGACTTCTGGTATTGATGCAGATATGATAGTTGACCCTCCAACGAGCTCAACCACCTACCAACCAACCAATAGCATCCTCCCGAAAGCGACAGAGATCACTTACTTCCTTACCTAGTACTTCTACTTACCCACAACCAAATCCAAGAAAAAGAACCAATACCACCAATTTACAAATCTCCCCTTTTACTCCAATCTCCAATTCTGTTAGACCTCTACCTATAAGTACACCTGCTACCCCATCAAGACCTAGATCCAACCCCGAAACTCCAAGATCATCAACCAATTCTACTTTCCGTCGACGTCTAAGCTTAGGTTCTAAATCACCAAACCATCCTCGTCGTCATGATTGTAACAACATGGACACTCCCTGAAGTACCAGTTTCTTCCATCCTCCAACGCCAGAGACCAAATTTAGCCGCCAACTTACGAAAATTCAACGACCTTCTTTTTCATAAGCCATCTCCATTTGCAAAGACTATGCTGCGATTCAATGGAAGGTAAACCATTTAGATCTCGTCCACTGGACGGCCCCCACTGCCAAATCTGTATATTTAAATTGGATCTCCCATTTAAACTAAACGCGGGGGGAAGTATTCCAAAATTAGGACAAACTGTTGTCTATTTAAGTTCACGAATACTTTCTCCCCTTGAAGAAAGACTTCTGGACAAAGGGTTAACCTTTATACCCACCCATAAACCATTTTCGATTGAACCAATTTTGACGTCGGTAACTGAAGTTCAGAGAACATTTAAATTGAATTATTACTTTCTCGAAAAACTTGGCCGCGGTAAACGAATCAAATTTACGGATAGATCTGGCTGGAATCCACCAGATAATGCGATTGACCAAGGTATTTTAACTATTTGCGACAATTTATACGAAGAAATTTCTCATTTGCCTTTGGTGAATGAGAAAAACAATCATACAAATTTTGAACGAAAATCCCTCAATAATCTAAAAAATGACAAAAACATTATCATCAGGAAAAGTGACAAAGGCAGTTGCTGCGTCATTCAAAATCGCGATGACTACATTTTTTAAATTGATAAACAGTTGAAGAATCCAAATCACTATCGCCAACTTGATACACCTATTTTTATGGAAACTGCGCGAGAAATAAACAATATTCTACAAAATTTGGTAAAAAAGAAATTTATTTCAGAAAAGCAATATGACTACCTTTCCGCGTCCAACGACACAGTTACACGCTTCCGAAAATTCATAAAAATCCCGAAACTAAGTGGTCCGTTGCCAACAAAATTCCTAAAGGTAGACCAATCATTTCTGGTTGTTCTAGAGAATCATACCGAGTTTCAGAATATATAGATTACTTTTTACTGCCACTAGCATGCAAACACCCTTCTTATCTGAAAGACACAACCGATTTTGTTGAAAAAATCAAGAAATTGGACATTCCCGAAAAGGCGCATTTCATTTCTTTGGACGTAACCAGTATGTATACCAACATTGACAACAATGTTGGTCTTGACGCCGTCCGTAAGGCATTTGTTCGATATCCATGTTCTGATCGACCTGATACAGAGATTTTAGATTTACTTAAACTATGTTTAACGCGCAATGACTTCTTTTTTAATGGAAAAATATATTTACAAACATCTGGAACTGCTATGGACAAACGATTTGCCCCTAGTTATGCAAA